GTCCACAAAGGGCTTCAGTCATTTTCATTGTTCTAAGCTACATTCGACAAAAACCAATTTTTAAAGACGATTCGCCATGCACACAAAAGGTCTTGTTAGCCCATGAGTCATGACTACAGAGGGCATATTATTTGTACAATACTTCATAATATAATATTTCTACTTTTCTTTACTGTTTAATTCAATGTGAAATAATGCAATCTGAGGGACCAGCTGGGCATTTTTTTGCAGTATAGGAATTTTAGTATGGGGGATCGGAGTCATTAGCTAAAACGTTTCACTGTGCGACTGGTCATGAGAACACTATTTTATTGTAATACGCGTTACTAAAGCTCCAGTTATTACAGATTTTGTCTATTATAACGGTTAACGGTCAGTAGCCAAACTCGATCGCTTGTTTACTATTGTTTAGCAAATCTGAAAATGCGCCAGGCTGTGAGGCCGTTTGCAAGTTGTTGGTTTGAAGCGGCCCGTAAATTTGATTACGTAGTCACGTGACACAGCTCGTTAATCTGGTCTGAGTGGTCCTGCCTCAGTTCTGGGTCTGCTGGTCACGTCCTTTTGTTGCTGTGACATGGGCCCTCGCTAGTTCGTTACTCTTACTGGTATATTTGCATCGCCTGATAACTTGTTCATAGCTAATTTCCAGATTTCTTGCGGTTAATTAATGTCACATGAAGAAATAGAATAGTGAATAATTATGAGTGATTGATTTGAGAGATTAACGGTACAAAATTACCTAATAAGGGCATCTGTCAACACTTCACGATAATCTGACCATGAGATTATTTCTTTGCCCTGTAGCTGTTAGTGTTACAGTGTTACACGTATTATCGCCAAATGCTTTAGAGTTTAGACGCACTGCAGTCTGCAGTTGCGGTTGCTAATTTAATTAAATACTCAAAACACTGACGACGTTGGCTAGCAACCCCAAACCTGAACTGTTATCTCTCAAATCTGTACTAACAGCTCCTCAAAATCTGGCGGTCAAATTGACACACCCATAATACAGCATCATGTATTAGTCCAGCAATCATTACATTGTGTCCTTGCTATGTGTTGTGCGTTTAATGAGGCTTCGTTTCTCGATTAATGATCCAATTAAATGATCATTGTGCAGTGTTCCATTGCTGGTCAACATCACACTTGGTCATGTTTTGACATGCTCTGTTTTGGGTTTAGGTTAATAAAAAGGGATGTTTTCTCAAGACGTTGTTTGTAATTATTTCACGAGCAGAACGGTATGTGACATTTGTGCGCTGTAATTGGCTTTGTAATTGGTAAACAATCGTGCTCCTTATTGATATGAAACCAATTGTAATTCTCAGCGAATAGTTCCGAGTGAACAGTTTCTTATGAACTGCGTAGTGCGTACACGTAGCTTTTTGTAAGTTCATCATTTCTCTCCTGTTCATCTTGAAGATTATGCCTCCTTACTTACCAACCCTCGTCAGCTTATTAACTCTGATGTCATTTTTTAAGTTATTGAAGTTCACCTTGTTGCTTGTTCGCGATGATAAATTTCAAAATTGAAATATCTTGATATTTTCTCTTGGTTGTTCTTTGCTACTATGCTAGTCCAGTAACGTCATCAATTAGAAAGGTTATCTAACTTCTGGGCTTATTTTTTATGATCTCGTCCAGTCTGACAACTAAATTGGGCTATTTTGCCTGAAAGCCAGTCTTGTCTGGCCCGGTCCAGCCACCAGATTGTACTCTCAGATGCGGTTTTATACGGTTAATGAATGGCGATCAGGTCGGTTCCCAGCACCAAACCTTTGCTATTCTTTGAAGTCCCATTTTTGGGATGGTTGAACAGTACACGAGTTAAAAAATAGATCATTCTCCACAGTCCAGACAAAGAACTGCAGGTTATTCAGATCATTTGTACGGAAATAAGTCGCGTCGTGTTGAACATCGACCGTAGGACAACTTTATGAGCTACCATTTTAACGGTATTGTTAGCATGAAGTATTCTTGGTACTGTGTTCTCAGTATTAGTGTTGAATCAAGCTTTAATCCTTTCGACAGTTTTTATTTCCTCTTTCATTCATTAAATACTGTTCATAGCGATAAAAGAAAAAATGTTTAAGTTTGACTTTTGACATAGTATAGTGTTTGGCGAAAGAATATAAATGATTGATAGCGCAATGTTAAATTATATCCTCTATCCATCTCAATTTAGTCTTAAGATAAGCTATCACGTGGTTTACAACTTATATAATACTTATTCCATAGAACATAAACATGCGGGTGCTGAGCTATTTTCGTATTATTGGACACGATCTACGTGACTGAGTTTGTAATTATTGAAACATGTGTTTGCTCGCTGATTGGTTGGGTACTGATTGGTCGTGCTGTGATTACTGATTGGTCGGAAGAATTGAGATAATTTGTATCAATATCATTGACATTATGATGATACTTCACCTCTGTTGCGTAACCTGAAGGTTATTGAATTGCTTATGGTTCAACTTCTCGTCAATTTCAGATATTGCCACGTTTCATTTTTCTCGTATACAGAAATGTAAAAGGTCAAATTGATGATGTTTCTTGGAGTCTCAGATTATGTCTATTCTTTATGGGCTACATTGTATTGAAAATGAGACTTTCGAAACATGTTGCACAGTGCACAACCTCTTGTGGAATTACCATGTCTTATAAACGATATTCAATCCAAATGCAGCTTTATGGCTTCTTCTAAACGCTCAATTCTTCATGATCAGTAGTATTATTGTTTCTACAATAGACCTTTATCTAACCTTTAAGCGGAAAGTCTGAGTGCTGTCTATTTTTCATTGGTTACATTGTTGCAAACCACATCACTAGCAACTGTTATCACACCATTTGAAAGTCAAAGTTCAGATCAGTCCTGTTCTATTATTCTGCAGTCCTTTCTAGAACACTATATTTACTGTTGTACAGACATTTTTCCGGCTACCTAAAATTTGTTTCCTCGTCCCGGCTCGTCCTAATTAATTATTAATTCAAATATTAGTTTACTTTTCTTATCATTTTATCGTATATTTACTTATATAGTTTATCTATCCTTATTATTATATATTTACTTATAGTTTTTGCAACTTTCACTGAGCATACGACCAAGACATGTCGTGCAATCTGTTGTGGAATCGCAATATCTTTGTTTTTTATACAATATTTCATTAATTTACCGCCTTGAGCTTCTTTTAGATGGTACACATTCGAGAACCTCTTTGGTGTCTGAGCACTGTTTGTAAACTTTTATGATTAATAATTTATGCATAAGCCACACTTCCAGTTTCCACTATATTTGACCCTAATAAACCCCCTAGCTACCCGATTAACTTCTCCAGTAAGCCGACATACCCAGAGAATGACCGGAAATGTGACGACCGAAATTGTTGGCTCGACGCTCTACACCACTGCCACTCCAGCCATCAGCTCCGCTGCTGATATTTCCATAGGAACCCTCCTGATCTTCTGTACTTTGATTGGACTACCAGGAAACCTCCTCGCCTTCATGTACTTCTGGGGCAAACGTAATCATTCCTACCCTGATCTTCTCTACACGATAATCAGTGCTGCGGACTCTTGCACGTGCGCTATCGCCTTCCCTATGATATCCTCACTCTTCGCCAACAATCGGGATAAGTCCCTTTTTGGCAATGGTTCTTTCTGTGGTATCTGGGTTGCTGTTTTCTTCTTCCTCCTCCGTTTCTCGCAGTTCATGGTGGTGGTGATCAGTGTAACCCGTGCCATCTCCATGCGGGCTCCCTTCTACCAAGTTAAGAAACTATACCTGACTGTGGCTTGCGTGCTGTACGCTTGTTTTCTCCTCACCCTCGAGGCGTTATTCTCTGGTACTGGTGTGCTGAGTTACCGTTACATCCGGCAAGTTGCATCGTGTGTTACAGTCAATAACGTGGAGGACTGGAGGTACACCACTTTTGTTTTTCTCAACCTGATCATTGTGGTCCTTGTTTCAACCACGGTGTTTTGTAGTTTTGCTCTGACTGTAACAACTCTGCTGAAGGGAACCAGGACCGGCAACAAGGACTTTAGAAAGGTTTCAGTTACGATATCCATCTTCACTGCAGTATTTCTGATGTGCAATCTCCCGCTGTTTCTCGCGGAAATGCTTCAAAACGTTTTCACTTGGATTGAGTACTGGCCCGGACTGTTAAACCCGTTTATGTCGTGGTACGGGTTCTTTGTTGGCTATCGGCTTTGTACGGCTCTAAATGCTACGGCCAACCCTATCCTGTATTTTAGTTTTATGCCGAAGTTCCGGATCTGGATCCAAAAATGTTTCTACAAATACAAAGCGAGGAATGATTCGACTGGGATGAAGATGACCCATAAGATTGAGAATGACCAACCTACGACCAAAACATCTTACAACGGAAAATGCACAAAAAACTCCATCTTTTATGATAGCCAGTAGCTGGTAGATAAAAAGACTGATTCGCTGCTACAAACTTATCTCAACAGTTAAAATTCATATTTTGTGCTGTATTGAATCTGCTGAATCAGATGGTGTTTCGTTTTCATTTCTTTTTGAGAGTCAGGTCAAGACAAATTTAAGAATGTGGTATGTGACCCAAGAACGGATTCAATCTGCTATATTTTAATTTATCGTAAAAGCGATCAATTGTTTTAACCTCATTCTTTTCTTTCTTTTTGGAAAACCCGCATTACCCATATTAATCAACAAATACTGGCGGGTAGTATTTAACAAAAATTAAATTGCTTGAGCTTATCTTTGCAACCTTACTGGAATGATAAAAACGGAATCGAAAGAAACTGTGTGTTCTACCAAACAATTTTACGATGACGTGTGCACAGTGCACACGGTGTGCCCCTTTTTCCACCACAACCGCCCATCGGGTCATGATGGAAAAAATAAACGTTATTTACATTTTACAACGAAACATTTACACGACATGGAGCTAATAGTAATATCAATTTAAAACACAAATCAGTTTTGCCATACAATCTACTTTATCGTCGCATCTCAGGACTGGTTGAACAACATGAACGAGCGAGATAACAGCCTGAAGAACAGTAAGAACCTCACCTTCACTGCGTTACCTGAAGTTCGGCAGACTGGCAATGTAAGTGTGGTTACCAGAGGGGATACCATGACATGGCTCGGAATGGTTTATTGATGAATAAGAAAATACAAATATCTGTTGTATCAAATAAGTGGGGGGGTGAACAAATTCATATTATTGATTCGTTTGCAGAAAAGGTTTTTTGATATCTAGAAGTAATTACACAAGTTAATGGATATATTTTCGGTTGCCTGCATGTGTTTGGTTTCAGGTTGATTCGAACAGACTAACTGAGGAAGAGAAAGCCGAGAACAAAGCTAATCCTGATAGGATAAATTCCTACGATTACAGAGCTTGGGACAGGTTTGTGTTTTACCTGATGCTGTTTGTACTTTTATATCTTTATCATTCCGTCTGATTTGTTGTGGGTTTTTGGCTGGTTGTCGATGTTTGCTCTACAATGTATGTGGCTCCGATTGGTGATACTTCATACAATATATGATGAAATGTGTAGAATTTGTGGTTCAGTTCGGGTCCAAGAGCCAAGAAAATCGTTGATGTTATCTGTAATTATAGTGAAAATTAAAATAATAGTACGATACCTTCTAAAAAGTTAGATAGCTTAATCTGTCAACACATTACAAAAACAATAGAACAGCTGAAAAAATATATACAATGTTTACTCTGAAATAGCTACAAAATTAAACCTGTGAAAATAATTATGGTACAATAACGTCTAAAATATAACTTGCGCAAGATACTGTCCGAATTGTGATCCCATTCTGTTTTGTTCATTGGTAAAATTCGTTCATCATCTTTAGCTTAAAGAAATCAATTCTGACTAAATTTAGAGTTCGACGTTAAAAATTGGTTCCATCAGCAAAGAGCTACGATGCTACGGGTACTCTTCTTGACCTGGTCTTCTACTCAGTGCCTATAAAATTCTGAAAATGGAAGTTTTTGTCAGATTTCTGGTTATCTTAGATCAAATTGAAGGGTATTAAATTCATCTACTTCGGTTTTAATACTGGGTTTGATAACTTTCAATAACTCCAAAAATCCGCCTATCTTAACTGTGGACTCACTCGTAATTCTACGAAGCCACTCTGCATGTTGAAGTTCATGTTCTCCATGTAAACTTGGAGTTGTTTAACCCTTTCCTTGAGATACCGCGTGTTGTTTTGTAAAAGCGTCTGTACTTCTGATCCCTCCTTTTGTCGCTTGATTTTAAGGTAGTCCTGATAAAAACGAGGTAAAATTATTAGTGATTACTCTTCAAATCGAAGTTAATAACCTCCCTTAAATCACGGAAAAAATCATCTCAACAGTATAAAGTTGAGGTAAAGGAGTGATGAAACCTCTAAACGGTCAATAACAAATCTCTGGGCTGTCTATAACATACCTCTAAACGGTCAATAACAAACCTCTAAACGGTCAATAACAAACCTCTAGGCTGTCTATAACAAACCTCTAAGCAGTCTATAACATACCTCTAGGCAGTCTGTAATATACCTCTAGGCTGTCTATAATATACCTCTAGGCTGTCTATAACAAACCTCTAGGCAGTCTATAATAGCGGAGCGTATGACAGTGTCAAACCACTTGTTGTCCTGATCATGCGCGTGACGGTTGCTCTGGTCACGTTTTGCTTGCTTCTTGTCCACGATGTGTCCCACAATAATGTGAATGATCGAGAAAGGTGGAGGTAGGTAACTATTCTCCATTTCCTGTTAATTTTTCAAATTTATATAATTAAATATCCACTTACTACATATTGTATTATATATCTAAATTCTCTAAAAACCGCCTCTTTTAAATTTGAAAAGTTACCGATATCACTAACCATAAGAAGTTCCAGCCTCTGAAACTTGAAGATGACTTCCTGTCTCTGTTTGATCTTACTGTAAGTATCCGAGAACATAGCAATAAGGATGTTGACCAGCATCAGGACCACAATGGCCATGTAAATGCCTACTAGTGCTATCACCACGCCTCTGCGGAGTGAGCTTCGTGAACTCTCGTCTGTGTCGGACGCGGATTTGGTCGGGAAATATGTTGATCCTTCTGCAGAATTAGAACCCAGATCATCAACGAATAACTCTCCGTACATCTAACGGGAATGTTGTTTTAGGATTTAGGCTTGAATTTTGAGATTTCAGTCGAAAGTCTGATTGGACGTCTGCATAACATGTGACTGACCACTATTTTGAGCCAGACTTTGAACTTTAAAAAACAGACCTGAAAGAAGGTGTAAAAGAATATGCCGCCTATCATAGTTGGGGTTTGCTCCTTTGTAAAATCTTCTGGTTCAGTCAGCACTACCGCATATCCTACTCCAAATGCTATGAGCACCATAAAGAACATCGTTAAGAAAACCTGGGGGAATATAAGTTGTTCATCGGGTATAACTGGCAAGTCGCAGGTTGGCAATCCGCGCCCCCATAAATAACAGTTGATTCACCTCTTTCAAACAAGCTATCAATTAACAGTGGTATGAATGTAATAATAATAACTCAATTTCTAAAAGGAAGCCTGGTTAGTTGCAGATGACGATAGAGCGCGAATTAAACCATATTTTGATGACGCTTGAAACGCAGAATTGGTCTTAAAAGGGCAGAACTTACCTGTTCAAAAACAAGAACATACCCTAAAATCTTTCATCATTTTATTGATCATCAACACAGTAGGTCCCAGATACTTGTCAGATATGAACATGTGAATCAGTCTTAGTACAAACATTATAGATGATACTGACAGCAGCACTCTTCCAATGTCATAGCTGTTGTCATCAATCTTGCAAGAGTCAATGTCTGCGTCTCCTGGATGATAATGATGAGTAAGACAACAGATTCAAGTACGTAGCGTATCTTATAAACGTACGGCATACGAAAACGTATTATACTTAACAACGATTAACAGATTGTTGTAAAAAAATGTTCCCTCGGGACTTGGCATCAATTATTAAATTTAAGGAATAAAAGCTGCAGTTTATGGGTCATATCCTCTAAATGAAACATCCTTGATTTCCAATGGACTGTCTTGACGGTTTAAAAAAACCAAAAACATTCGTTTAAATATGGGTCGACTTACCGTTTGATTTTGCAGGAATGTTAACTAAAATGAGTCCCAGTGTGTTAACCATGTACATCATTGCATCTATCTTGTTCCAGATAACGTGGAACCATCCAAAAAAGTGTCCAGCATTCACTGCCTGAAATATCTTCCATTCACCTTGGTAACCGATGCAATGAATCCATGCAAGTTTCACAGATATCAAGAAACAATGTTATCGTTAAATTTCAAATAAAAATCAACCTGAATGAACTCGTCGATGAGAAGCATAGCGAACCAAACGAAGTGGATGACTTTCTCGGTATTGAAAGTGCACATGTCACCTTGTCTACCCACTTTAGCCAGGATGACGTAGGATTGGTATGTGATAAATAGAACGTACATTGCTACCTCCATCCAGAACTTTACACTTGGACTCGTGCAGAATGCCTGGGTAATGAAACGTTTAGTTATTTTCTTTTGCTATAAAATGCTTCTACGGAAAGTGCATTATTTAATGTTCACACTTGTATCTATAGAGCATTTCTACATAGCATTAACAAAAGAAAGAGTTTAACCTTGAATTTCCTAGTAAATTTAATGAGGACACCGTAATTTTCTGTTTCTGTCCACTTCAGTTTAATCGTTACAAGAGGACTCATCACTAGGAAGGGACATAGAAACACCAAAATAGTCGTGAAGAATCCAACCTGAAAAGATTCCGGATTCGACTAAGAAGAAATGCTTTGGATCAGAATTACCGAATCGTATCTATGTGGTCAGATCAAGATTCCTATTAGTATTATGGGCATTCTATTGAAATAGACAAAAACATTCTTAGGATTTCGCTGATTTGCTTACCTCCGAAGTGAGTCCTCTCTTCCATCTCTTGTCTTGGAGCTCTTGGCATGCTGGGTGAGCTACAAAATCTTTAGCTTTACACACGTAAGCCATATCAATGTAAGTCATGGCGTTTAACCTTTCCCAACCACTTTTGATTGCCTTTTCCCGGAGTAAGAGGTCACAGTTTTGATGGAGTAGATCCATGATGTCAATCGCCAAACGTTCGAATCTTTTCCTCATGAATTGGATTGTTTCCTTTTCGTGGTTTGTTATTATGACCTGTAAAAGGTAATTCAAATGACAACGTTGCCAATCTTTGTTAGTACAAACGTTATGTAGACAAAAATGCGCTGCATCTTACCCGAATACTCCTACATTACCTTCTTAGATTTCTGCAGTTTCCGTAAAATCATCAGAACAAAAAGCGCCCCTTTAATAGGTTCCTGAGTGTTGCTCCACATCAGCTCTGCTATTTCCGGGTAGAGAGAGAGAGCTGCCCATACCATCAGCTCGAAGTAGGGATCACTCTCATTTGAAACGTTAGAGTTGAAGCTGTACTCTGCAATTTATAGGATCATGGTTGACTCTCAATTACCAATTTTAACTTGGAATGCAAAGAATTTACTACACTTCAATAGCAGAAGCTAAACTACCTAAAAACCGCCTTATTTTTCAACCTAAAGACTAAAATGTTTTTCTGGCCCAGAAAGAAATGAATGTAAACTGACGTGTTCCACTGAGTCTGTCTATCATTCTATCCACTGTTCTTTTATCGTTCAGGCTAACCTCGCTTTGTTGTGAACTTCCCAAGTGGTACCTAGCGATATAAGCATCCTTCTTTTTTATGGTATTTTTATTCATTCTACGAAAAGAAGACAAATTTAGAGTTTTGGCTTAAATTGAGTCTGATTATGAAGACACATTTTCGCTTTTAAATTTAAATCAAGATACCCTTTATCGCTAATTATTAAAAAAGGATACTTCAGTATTTTGATTTTTCCTTAGTTAATCACGATAAGTCTTTTCCCTGTGATATAAAATAAATTTAATCGTGAATAAGTCGTATTCATAAAAAGTGGGGTATTCATGAATTCAAACTAGCATTTTTTAAACTTTTCATGATTACGACTTATCATCAATACTTCTTCAAATACTTCAACTGTGTGGTGGAAAATAATAATTGTCGAAACGCACAGATTCATCTACCCTACCCAGTTTGCATATGTGGACAGTTTGGTTGTTTAAAATTAATTAAATAACATTTCTCCATTAATACATTAATTAAATAACATTTCTGTAAACCTGGCGTAACGTTTGAGATGGTCTACGTTGTTGGTACTGCCGTATAAGAGGATCATGTTAGCTGCCACCATGGGTACACTCGCTCCGTGTGCTAGCAACAGCTCCGTGAAGTCGTATAGGTTCCACGCCTGCACAACATTCAGTGGTTAGAGATTTATTTTTATTTAGTTATCTTTGGAATGCGACCTAAAGGGGGAAAATTGTAGGAACTGTGTATAATTTGCGATGAAATTTGAGACGAGCAGAATTCTTAGTTGATAACCCTACTATCAAACTTTAGAGTCACATTTTCCATTTTGGCCAGTCATGCCGGAAACCTCAAAAAGCGAAATGCGAATATGGTGAACGTTAGCCCTCTCCCCAAACATTTCCATTTGATCCTATTCTATAGTGTTCTGTCTTGTGGCAAGTGAAATATCGATGGTCTTCAATCATATCTAATTTAATAGCTTTTATTCCTTTTAATGTGCTTCTTCAGAAGTAACTTCTTTTTTTTTCAAAATTAAAGTCTAGAAATTTTTATCAGCTGATTGAATCATAAAATAAAACATCGAATACATTATAGCTGCACAGCACATAATAAAAATTGTTTGCAAAATAAAATGATAAAAATATGAACTAATAATAAATTGTGGAATGGAAATCAAAATGTAAATCGAACTTTTTAAAGACAGTTACATCTTATTCCTAATGTACCAGGAATGAATATAGTCATACAATTATTAAGATACGTTCCTTGTACGATAATCTGTGTTTTTATAGTCTCTCTATTAAACTATTCTTTTACACGCATTACAGCTTTGCTCCTCTAAGACTGGTCTCGGTAGTATCTCTGCTTTTTTAAAAGTGTATTTTACCGTTTAGAGAAGAAGGTAAAGTAGGGCTTGAAGAGGAATGAGAAGAGATGTGATGTGGACACTCATTACCCTGCTCATGTCCAACTTGTTGCAAAGATCAGTCGTACATTCCTTGCATGTTTCCTCTTTCTTAGTGTCTCAGAACATGTTCCACATCCGTTTGTGTTGGAGTACTTATCGGCAGTGATGTCTTTGGTAGCTGGCATGTTGCAGACGATTTTGGTGTTTGCCAATCGCTTGCAGGTCGTATCTATCTGGCTGTAGTTCTTTTTGGTGTCATCGAATTGGTAGGTGTAACATTTGAAATCAGCTCCAATGCTTACAGGCTTGTTGCAACCGTCACCAATGTTACCAGCACATTCCTCACAAGTACTGTCTTTGGTTCCACCAGAACATGAACCACAGGCGTACGTCACGTCGGAAAAACCAGAAAACTCGGTAAACTTGGGTTTGGAGCACATTGTGGCTGTGACATCTGCACAGTTGGTGGCAGCAGCAGAACCATCATCACCCTGGACACACTTGATTGGGGTCTTGTTGCAGGAAGCTTTGTTACACTCCGTACAGTCTTTATCCTTCGTGTCTCCTTTACAGGGACCACAGCCATTTGTGTTGGTGTAGGAGGTCTTTGTGGCTGTAGAAGATGGTTTGTTGCAGACTATGGCGGTTCCACTCAATCTTTTGCAAGTTTCTGGGTCAGATTTCTCAACAAATTTGTTATCTGTATCAGAAAATTCATTCGAATAACATTTGAAATCAACGCCAACACTAAGGGGCTTGTTGCAACCGTCATCAGTTTCACCAGCACATTCTTCACAAGTACTGTCTTTGGTTCCATCAGCACATGCACCACAGGCATACTTCACGTCAGAAAATCCGGTATAATCGGTAAACTTCGGTTTGGAACACATTGTGGCTGTGTTATCTGCACAGTCGGTGGCAGCAGCAGAACCATCATCACCCTGGACACACTTGATTGGGGTCTTGTTGCAGGAATCTGTGCTGCACTCCGTACAACCTTGATCCTTCGTGTCTCCTTTACAAGGACCACAGCCATTTGTGTTGATGTAGGAGGTCTTTGTGGCAGTAGAAGATGGTTTGTTGCAGACTATGGCGGTTCCACTCAATCTTTTGCAAGTTGTTTCGTCAGATTTCTCAACAAATTTGCTATCTGTATCAGAAAATTCACTCGAATAACATTTGAAATCAACGCCAACACTAACGGGCTTGTTACAACCGTCATCGGTTTCACCAGCACATTCTTCACAAGTACTGTCTTTTGTTCCACCAGCACATGCACCACAGGCATACGTCACGTCAGAGAAACCGGTATATTCGTTAAACTTCGGTTTGGAACACATTGTGGCTGTGATCGATATCTGCACAGTTGGTGGCAGCAGCAGAACCATCATCACCCTGGACACACTTGATTGGGGTCTTGTTGCAGGAAGCTTTGTTACACTCCGTACAGTATTTATCCTTCGTGTCTCCTTTACAGGGACCACATCCATTTTTGTTGGTGTAGGAGGTCTTTGTGGCAGTAGAAGATGGTTTGTTGCAGACTATGTCGGTTCCACTCAATCTTTTGCAAGTTGCTTGGTCAGATTTCTCAACAAATTTGTTATCTGTATCAGAAAATTCATTCGAATAACATTTGAAATCAACGCCAACACTAACAGGCTTGTTGCAACCGTCATCAGTTTCACCAGCACATTCTTCGCAAGCACTGTCTTTTGTTCCACCAGCACATGTACCACAGGCATACTTCACGTCGGAAAATCCGGTATATTCGTTAAACTTCGGTTTAAAACACATTGTGGCTGTGTTATCTGCACAGTCGGTGGCAGCAGCAGAACCATCATCACCCTGGACACACTTGATTGGGGTCTTGTTGCAGGAATCTGTGCTGCACTCCGTACAACCTTGATCCTTCGTGTCTCCTTTACAGGGACCACAGCCATTTGTGTTGGTGTAGGAGGTCTTTGTGGCTGTAGACGAAGGATGATTGCAAAGAATTAGACTATCAGTCAACCTTTTGCAAGTTTTCTTGTCTGCGTCTACCTCAAACTTACTCAACTCGTTGTTGAAGGTGTGCGAATAACACTGGAAGTCTGCGCCCAAAGTTTCACTCATCGTGTTGCAGGCTTCATCAGCTTTTCCATCACAGTCTTTGCAAGTTTCCGCCTTATTTGCTCCACATTCACCACAGGCATACTGGACATCTGAAGAAAAGCCCTGGTAGTCGGTGAACTTTGGTTGTGAACATTTTGTTGCTCCACTGCATTCTGTTGCTTCTGCTGTCGGATCAGATCCCTGGATGCATTTTATTTCAGCTGCTGAAATGATGGGAGCTTATTTTTATTGTCACTATTGTGTCTTTTAATGTTAAATCATCTTTACGAGCTTCTTATTGGGTGTTAAGACTTCACCTTTATTAAAAGTTTATATAAGTTTATAAGTGTATTACCTGTTTCCGACACTAGAGCAAGAACCAGAATAAGAAACTCTTTCATAACAGCAATATTTATTATCTCTGCCTGGACTCTATTGGAATTTTAAATTTGCTCAGAATGTTCATCAACAATTACTATGTCTATATATCGGCAATAATTTGCGCTGCTATAATCTCAACACTAACGGCCGATAAAAATTAAAATATTAATATGCGATTATTGCATACTCAGCTTAAAAAGAAACTAATTTATTAATTACAATCTTACTATATATAAAGCGAGACGATATATATATATATATATATATATATATTTATTTATCCGTGCCATTTTACTGACACCACGGCATCAACTTTAACACGACTTTCCGCAAAAACCGTAAAAGATATACAACTGAAACTTTTTTGACTGGGTCAAATGCTTTAATGGCCTTCAAATCAGCATGGAAAAATAAAAAATTGGCCAAGAAATAGGAGTTTTAGAGCCCAAAATTTGGACCCCCAAGTGGTGTCAAAAACGCGAATTAAATAGGTAATAATTATTTTAGTCTCTTGAGTCTTGCCACCACTTTAGGGTTAGACGGGTTCCTGCTAGTGATACTAAATTGCGAAAAGAAACTTTAGATACCAAAACAGTTCAAGTATTGGAACAATAAACATTTCATTTCTACAGATGCAATTGCAAGCGTATACAAGGCACCAAACATAATATGCACAATGCACATTTAGATACGAATTATTTGCGAAGACGTTATGTGGTTATTCATGGGTCGAGCGGCTTTATAAAAGCATACATTTCCTTCTCATACAAAACCTCTTAAAACAATTAGAATATGAAGGGAAGATGGCGGTAATGGCTATGGTGGTAGAAATGGGTAGGAGAAGAGTGTTATACAGTATTTCTGATAATAAGCATATCAAAGTCGGGCAGATCCCTTCTTCCTAAGCTTTTTACCTAAACGATTATCGTAGTCAAGGTAACCGCTGGTGTAAGCCCAAAACTTGCGTTCAGGATTTACCACTACTAAATTATCCAACATAATTGCATGGCATATACTTAAAAACAACAATTACACAAATTTCGGATTCAATTCAAAGACGGATGCATAGAATGGAATTGAAATTGTTTTAACCTCAAATTTGTATATGTTATTATGTCACATCCGGGTCCATCATATAATTACGATTATAATTCAGATAAAAATCAATCATTTTTAATTTAAATTGTTAGCTATGCGAGCCTTACTTAGTATGTTTATATTTAGTTTTAGAATATGTTCCAAATAATATGCTCATTGCATCATGTCAAGTTTAATTCATGTATAAACAGGCATGAAGCATTTTCCTGCCGTGGATGTACAAACAGCGTGATATGATACAAAAAAATACAGTTCACGATCAACAGATAAGGCTACATAGCGTGTAGTACACGCAAAGCCAGCGCATATAATGATACATGCCCCTTAAAATAGCCCATACAGGAAACGTTAACCACCATTATGTTAGCTGAGAGGAGTGCTAGTTAGAGTAAAGCTAGCGAGGAGAGCCGAGCTTGTGAGGAGAACCACATTTGAGCTATTTTAATACTGTCTGGGAATGGTATTAGTCATTGTAGCCTACCTTAGTGTAGCTGCTTAAGATCATGGTGGGGCTCAAAAAAGGCACAAATAAGAACCCACAGACCGGAATAACGGAACACTGGAAATGTAAAACGGACAACTCCTTGATAGAACCGCATTTACATAATTTAGCATGGTCCATATACATATAGACTAGAAGAATTTGACGATGTCAAGATCAACTCCCCTCTATATGTAAA